TTTAGCTGGGTTTCCACAGGCAGGGTCACAATTATCTACAGTGTATGAAGCTAAAGGTTTTTGGGTTAAGGTTCATAATGTAGAACATTTTTAACATTGTATGCTGCATGTGCATAAGTAGCTAGCAAACAAGGAATACAGCTGTAAAGCTAATAGTCAAATTTAGCGGAGTAAGATCATGATTGAGAAATGTTGGATACTTCTGGAAATGCTGGTGTTATGGGGTATCCTATTTATTATTTTAGGACTTTTTTTGTTTGCCCCAGTGAAGCATTTCTATTAATATAACCAAGTAGTCAAACTCATTCCATATCAGCAGAATAGTGTGGTACCGAAAGTCTGTCCATAGAAAAGGTTCTGAATGAATTATGTTTCTGATACCTAATGGTCAAAAGCGAAAGTAATAGGTCAAAATTAAATTGCAGACAAAGATTTTGAATAGCTAGGTTGGCTTGTACACTATATTGCCAAAAGTATTGGGACACCCCTTCTAATGAACCGGTTTGACTACTTTAGTAACTTCCATGAGTACAAATCTTAATGGTTAAGCATATGATATTCTAGGGAATTGGGTGCTTCTAATTTTATACCAATAGTTCGAACCGGGCCCTTTTCGAACCGGGCTTAAGCCTTGTCTGTGAAACCAGGGGTAGAAGTTATGTTCAATGGAACAGTTATATCAGCCAACTAACTCAACTACTAGATGTGCGAAATCCTCACATTTTTCCACCTAATTTCTTTACATATTCGTCAACCACCAACAAAAGGCAAGACGGTTAGTCTTCACTTAAACCCCACACAAAAAATACACTTGCTAATGACATTTTATTGATACTTTAAAAACGAACATTATCCACAACCAGAAAACTGCAAACACAAGTAAACAGCTATGACTTCACTTGTTGCAACAACCTGGATCTGCTTTGGGACAAATGCCGGCTACTTTGAGCTGTTCCAAGAGCATTCTGGTTTGTGACAGGCTGATAATTCCGTGCTGGATACCGAAGTCCACGTTGCACTGACTGAGACACGGACTCATAGCTTGAAATAAAGCGTCTACTGGGCTGCACCAGGGCTTGGGAACTTGATCTGGATACAGATTGGTAACCTGACTGCCCAGGCATAGATGTTTGGAACCCAGGCTGCGATATGGTCTCATAACTTGACTGTTCCTGGGGCTTGTACCGAGACTGCACTGGAATGGCAGGGGAGAAGAAGCCAGACTGAGCTAGTGACTGGTGGCTAGGCAACATTTGAGGCTGGTAGATAGATGGTTCTAGACTGCTTGAGGGTTTGTAGCTGGATTGCACAGGCTTAACTACGGACTGATACACATCTTGCCTTGGCTTGGCCAGAGGCTGGTAGCCAGGCTGTTGCAATTGCCTCAAAGGTCCAGATTGCGGTCCACTGAGCTGTGATACAGAACCATAACTGGGCAGTCTGTGCTTAGCAAGAGGCTGTCGGCTTGGAAGAACTGGAGGCTGGTAGCTAGGCTGTTCAGGAAGTTGTGCTAGTCTGAAAGTGGACTGGAGTGTTGATTGCAGTGGTCCAGGAGGGACATGGCTGCTGGGTGACACCACAGACACACAGGTGTCCTGCCCAGGCTTCACTGGGGCATGGTAATTAGGTTGTACAATAGGTTTGATGTGCTGAGCTAAGGATGGAGATACTGGTCTGGATGGAGGCTGATATTCAGTACATCCTGGTTGGGCTGCAAGCTGGTAACTGGGCTGCAATACATACTCCTGGCATGAATAAAGTTTGGAGCCAACCTGATAAAGTTGTCCCCCTTGGGCCTGCAGTGGCTTGAAAACAGTTAGTTCACGGTGCTGGACTACAGACTGGTAGCGGGATAGTGCGGTTTGCAGGCTGTTTGGTTGAGTCACAGAGTAGCTGGCTTGTGGTGACTGTTGGCTGCTGACTTGTGCAACTTGTGGCCTAATCGTTTGGGACACAGACTGATAGCTGGCTTGCACTGTTTTTAAAACACTTGGCTGAGCCACAGACTGGGAGCTGGCCTGTGCTGCTTGCAAGCCACTGGACTGGGCCACAGACTGGTAGCTGGCTTGTGCTAGTTGTTGGATACTGGGCTGAGCCACATAAGGGCAGCCGGCTTCTGCTGGTGCTGGTTGCTGGACAGCAGGCTGGACCACTGACTGGTAGCTGGCTTGTGCTGGTCGTTGGCTACTTGACTGAACTACAGAGCTATGGCTTGGATTCTGGAGTGGCCTAGTACCAGAAAAGAACTTAGAAACATATTGAAGCCTACCTTCTTGGGGCTTGAAAAGAGTCAGGCTACTGGGCTGTGCCACAGACATATAGCCGCCCTGTGCGAGTTGCTGTCCACTGGACTGAACAGATTGGCTGGCCTGAACTAGTTGCTGGCTGGAGGATTGGGCTACAGACTGGCCACTGCCTTGCACTGGTTGTTGGCTGTTGGGCTGAACCACAGACAGGTCAATGGCCTGTGGGAATTGCTGGCTGCTGGCCTGGGCCACAGATTGGTAGCTGGCTTGTGCTAGTTGGCTACTGGGCTGGGCAACAGACTGAGAGCTGGCCTGTTCTAGTTGCTGGCTGCTGGGCTGGGCAACAGACTGAGAACTGGCCTGTTCTAGTTGCTGGCTGCTGGGCTGAGCAACAGACTGAGAACTGGCCTGTTCTAGTTGCTGGCTGCTGGGCTGAACCACAGACAGGTCAATGGCCTGTGGGAATTGCTGGCTGCTGGCCTGGGCCACAGATTGGTAGCTGGCTTGTGCCGGTTGTTGGACAGCAGGCTGGGCAGCCGACTGGTAGCTGGCTTGTGCTAGTTGTTGGATACTGGGCTGAGCCACATAAGGGTAGCCGGCTTCTGCTGGTGCTGGTTGCTGGACAGCAGGCTGGACCACTGACTGGCCACTGCCTTGCACTGGTTGTTGGCTGCTGGGCTGGGACACTGACAAGTCAACGGCTTGAGGGAGTTGCTGGCTGCTGAGCCGAGCCGCAGATAGATAGCTGGCCTGTACTCCTTGTAGTCCACTGGGCTGAGAACTGGCTTGAGCTAGTTGTTGGCTGCTGGGCTGAACCACAGACGGGTCAATGGCCTGTGGGAATTGCTGGCTGCTGGCCTGGGCCACAGATTGGAAGTTGGCTTGTGCTCGTTGGCTACTGGGCTGTGCCACAGACATATAGCTGCTCTGCACTGGTTGCGGTCCACTGGACTGGGAAACAGATTGGCTGGCCTGAACTAGTTGCTGGCTGCTGGGCTGAACCACAGGCAGGTCAGTAGCTTGTGCTGGTTGGACACTGGGCTGAGCCACAGATGGGTAGCTGGCCTGTGCTAGATGGCTACTGGCCTGGGCCACAGACTGAAAGCTGGTTTGTGCCGGTTGTTCACTGCTAGGCTGGATGACCTGTGCTAGTTGCTGGCTGCTTGGTTGAGCTGCAGTTTCATAGCTAGTTTGTACTGGCTGCTGGCCACTGGATTGGGCTAATTGCTGGCGGGATGACAGACTCATAAGTGCAAAGCTAGCCTGAGCTAGCTGAGGGCTGTTCAACTCACTGCTGTGTTGCACGATTTGGTAGCTAGGCAGTGACATGGATTCATTTTTGGGGGGTAAAGGCTTGAAAGAGCCAAAGCTTGCATCCTGAACTGGCCTGGAACCTGAAAAAAGCTTAGAACCAGTTTGCCAAAGTTGATCTCTCCGAGGCTCAAGGGGCCCTCTATTTGACTGCCTTGCAGACTGGGAGCTGGCCTGTGCTAATTGTTGGCCACTGGTCTGGGTTAACTGTAGGGTGCTAGACTGGGCCATGGTTCCAGAGCTGGCTTGTGCCGATTGCTGACCGCTGGACTGGGAGATTGTCTGCACTAGCTGTTGACTGTCGTGCTCTGCCACAGAGTCATTGCTGGTCTGCAGAGGAATTTGGTAGTTTAGCTGCTCTGGTTTAGGAACAGAATCACTACTTTGCTGCAATGGCATCAAGACCATGGAAGAACGGATAGTGTCAGAGCCTTGAACACTAACTGACCGACTTACACCATACCCTGACATGCCCATACCTGCTGCACTACCCACAAGACTACCACTTCCAACTGAAGCACGTCGAGAGTCCTGAAGCTGGCTTCTAGCATCTGAACCAGAACTTCCACTTGTCACTGGACCACCTGAAGAGCCAGTCTGAGAATGGTAGCTTCCAGAACCATAGCCTGCCTTAACTGCAGCACCAT